ATCAGTCCTTCCAGTGAATATTCAGGACTAATTTCCTTTCAGATTGACTGGTTTGATCTCCTTGCAGTCCAAGGGACTCTCAAGAGTCTTCTCTAACACGACAGTACAAAAGCATTAATTCTTTGGTGCTCAGCTTTCTTCATGGTCCAACTCTCACATCCATACATTAGTTTATATTTTCTTTATTACTAGTTTAGGTTGCTTTTTTTAGCCAACTTTTTCACTCTCTTCTTTCACCTCCATTAGGACGGTGTCATCTGCATATCTGGGGTTATTGATATTTCTCCAGGCAATCTTGATTTCAGCTTGAGCTTCATCCAGCCCAACATTTCTAATTACATGCTCTGCATATGAGTTAAATAAGCAGGGTGACATTATACAGCCTTGATGTACTCCTTTGCCTATTTTGAAGCAGTCTGTTGTTCCGTATCTAGTTCTAACTCTTACTTCTTGATTTAATGGATAAGGGAGCTTATACATCTGAAGCAAGGTCCTGGAGCAACACCCCACCATGTGCAGCAGACGGTAGACCAGAAATGGTGGCAGGTTTCACTCCTTGGTGGAAGGGATAGTGTAGTCACTAATTCGTGTCCATATGTAAGAGGAGATTGCCAGTTATAGGGGGAATTACGTCAGATTGGCTCATTAGTAGCCAGGGAAATCAGAGGCCCACACTCCTCATCACCCTTTTGATATAAAGAGCCACTAGCTGGAGCCTGGGACAAGTTTGTAAGGTCAGTCATGTGAGTAAAGCAGGTGCTGTTCGGCAGGGGATGTACAGAGAACAAGAGAACAGCCATCATGAGTGACCTGACTGTAGTGTTCTTTTTAACCTTAAATGAAATACATATGTAATTATAATTCACATATAATAAAGTTAATATGCATAATTTCTAATCACTATGGTGACATGAGTATAATGTAAAGTTATGAGGAAAGTAAAAAAGTAAAGTAATTTAAAATATATATTTAAAAATGTGAAAAAAATAATAATAAAAATGTGAATGTTGAGGAACTTTTGCTTCCACTAAGACTTTGAGCTTCCACTGCAGGGGAAGCAGATTGAATCCTTGATCAGGAACTAAGGTCCTGCATGCCATGTGGTGCAGTCAAAAAATTTAAAAACAAAAACAAATGTAAATGTTGAAGCATTACTGAATTAGAACATATAATGAATTAAATACTTGCAGGTATATATAGCATCATTGTGAATGTGCAGCAATAAGTGCAGACAGATATAGATATTTTGGTTTGGTGGTTTAGATATAAAAATACAAATGGTATTGCCTCTGATAATGAGATATCGTAAAATGCTCAACAGCCTGTTTATAAAGTTCTGACCAAACCAAAGTACAAGCTATGTTAGTTGCATTCCTGGAAAATTCAGAACTTATTAAAACTGTGCAAAAAATACTTTTTTTTTTTTGTAAAAAGTAAAAGACTAATTTCTAGGTCCAAGTAATTATAAACAGGTTTTCTTTCCACATGACCTTAGATAGGACACTGCCAAGTCATGTGGGACATGTGTCAGTTTTTTTTGTAGCATGTTATGTCAGTTTTCGTTCTAATCCCAGAGAAAGGCAATGCCAAAGAATGCTCAAACTACCGCACAATTCCACTCATCTCACATGCTAGTAAAGTGATGCTTAAAATTCTCCAAGCCAGGCTTCAGCAATATGTGAACCGTGAACTTCCAGCTGTTCAAGCTGGTTTTAGAAAAGGCAGAGGAACCAGAGATCAAATTGCCAACATCTGCTGTATCATTGAAAAAGCAAGAGAGTTCCAGAAAAACATCTACTTCTGCTTTATTGACTATGCCAAAGCCTTTGACTGTGTGGATCACAATAAACTGAAAAATTCTGAAGGAGATGGGCATACTGGACCACCTGACCTGCCTTTTGAGAAACCTTTATGCAGGTCAGGAAGCAGCGGTTAGAACTGGACATGGAACAACAGACATGTTCCAAATAGGAAAAGGAGTTTGTCAAGGCTATATATTGTCACCCTGCTTATTTAACTTATATGCAGAGTAAGTACATCACGAGAAATGCTGGGCTCGAAGAAGCACAAGCTGGAATCAAGATTGCTGCGAGAGGTATCAATAACCTCAGATATGGGGATAATACCACCCTTATGGCAGAAAGTGAAGAAGAACTAAAGAGCCTCTTGATAAAAGTGAAAGAGAAGAGTGAAGAAGTTGGCTTAAAGCTCAACATTCAGAAAACTAAGATCATGGCATCTGGTCCCATCACCTCATGGGCAGTAGATGGGTAAACAGTGGAAACAGTGTCAGACTTTATTTTGGGGGGCTCCAAAATCACTGCAGATGGTGACTGCAGCCATGAAATTAAAAGACGCTTACTCCTTGGAAGGAAAGTTATGACCAACCTAGATAGCGTATTAAAAAGCAGAGACATTACTTTGCCAACAAAGGTCCGTCTGGTCAAGGCTATGGTTTTTCCAGTGGTCATGTATGGATGTGAGAGTTGGACTGTGAAGAAAGCTGAGCGCCGAAAAATTGATGCTTTTGAACTGTGGTGTTGGAGAAGACTCTTGAGAGTCCCTGGGACTGCAAGGAGATCCAACCAGTCCATCCTAAAGGAGATCAGTCCTGGGTGTTCATAGGAAGGACTGATGCAGAAGGTGAAACTCCAATACTTCGGCCACCTCATGCAAAGAGTTGACTCATTGGAAAAGACCCTGATGCTGGGAGGGATGGGGGGCAGGAGGAGAAGGGGATGACAGAGGATGAGATGGTTGGATGGCGTCACCGACTCATTGGACATGGGTTTGGGTGGACTCTGGGAGTTGGTGATGGACAGGGAGGCCTGGCGTGCTGTGGTTCATGGGGTCGCAAAGAGTTGGACACGATTGAGCGACTGAACTGAACTGAAGTGAACTTGAGCAGGGGTTGGCAAACTACATCCTGCAGGAGACACTGTTTGGGCTTTAAAAAAAAATTGTTATAGAGATGGTAACACATTTTTTTAGGTAAATCAATTCCAGTTCAAGGTATTATTGATTGGAATCCAATCAAAATAGCTTCCGTTAAAAGTGAAGTTAAATCAGAGTAGATTTCTTGATATACTTTGAGGAAAAGAATGATACACATCACCTGTGTTGTGCTGTGGTATTGTGAAGCAAAGTGCCATGGAAATAATTTTATTTAATTATATTATACAAGTTAATGTTTCTGTTGAGTCACATAGCCAGAAAATTTGGATCCTTGTACCTGATAAATAGGCATTCAGTAAATGTATGTAGAATTGTAATGAGAAATGCCTTTAATGTATGTTCTAACATTTATTGTACAATTTTTAAATTCATAGAGGAATGAAAGACGACATGTTTGTCTTTCAGCCTCTGTTCCACCCACTTTACCTATATTCTATGTGTACATTCCCTACCTTTACATTCCTCTGTTCTCATGTCTAATGCTTAAGTTTAGGTAGAACTCTTGTTTCCAAATGATAGCAATACAGCTTAAACTATTTTGAATAGTAAATGGGATTTTTTGGTGTCTACAGGTGGAAAAGATGCTGAGATAACATGAAGTTGAAGAGCGGTCTGCAGGAACCAGGGCCTTGGGGGTTACAGAACAGGAATATCACTCCATTAGAATCCATTTTCATCTTTTTTTGCAATCAGATATTTTGCCAGAAAATCAAAGATGACTGTTTGCAACCATCTAGCCTCATATTCTTCTGGTACCATCACACTCAGAGGCAAGACCATTTCTCCTGCTACTCTAAATTGGGAGATTAATTTGGGTCAGTCATTGTGCCCAGAGAAAGGAGGTATTGTATTTTGGTTTGGAACTCTTGGTCAGGCAGGGGAAAGCTTGTTCTGAGATGAAGTATTAAATATCACTGTCCTATCCAAGGCTCCATTGCCTGAGCCCTTTGATGATTCCCAACTTCAGTTTAGCTGCTTATTCCTCTCAGAACAGCAGTGGCAGTTAAGGTTTGAAAATTTATGGAAAAGCATAATGTAGTATACAGTTTTAGAGTAGTATTATCGAATATGAATTATTTGGTTGAAGATCGGCTACAAATCTAAAATAATACATTAATTTAACAAAATTTATTTAGTACTTCTTCTGGGCAAGGCATCACACATTTATAGTATATCAAATCAAGTCTGGCTATAAGGCACTGTGAAATTATGTAAGATTTCATCAGAGCACTAATTCATTTTACTCTCATTATTTTATTTTTATATTTTTATTTATTATTATTTTCTCATCATGGAACTGGATATTTATAGATTATAGTTATTAATAGGGAATTTGAGTGACGTGGATTTTTTTTTCTTTTGGCCATGCGTTATGGCTTCTGAGAACTTTGTTCTCTGAGCAGGGATTGAACTTGGGTTCTCAGCATAGAGAACATGGAGTCCTGTCTACTGGACCACCAGGGAATTCCCAATGTGAAATTTTTAACAGTAACTTTTCTGATATTCAGTATTTTCAAAGTGATTGTTTTTGTACTTATGAAGAGCTTATTCTCATTACTGTCTTTTGATGACCCATTTTTAAAAGATTTATTTCTTTGGCTGTGCTAGGTCTTCATTGCTGTGCATGGCTTTGTCTAGTTGCATCAAGCTTGGACTACTCTCTAGTTGAGGTGCATGGACTTCTCATCCTGATGGCTTCTCTTCTTGTGGAGCACGGGCTCTAGGGCCTTTGGGCTTCAGTAGTTGTGGGGCATGGTTCCAGTAGTTATGGCTTGCAGACTCTGGAGTGCTGTCTCATTTGTTGTGCTGCAGCAGGCTTAGTTGCTCCACTGCATGTGGGATCCTTCCAAATCAGGGATTGAATCTGTGTTCCCTGCTTTAGCAGGTGGACTCTCAACCACTGGACCACCAGGGAAGGCCTTGATGATCTTTTTTGAAAGCTTATTCAGTGATTGAGAATCATTTAAAAGTGTGATCTGTAGTTAAGAAACTATCTTTTTCTAGTTATCTACCAAATTCAAATTTATTCCTTTTTCTGTCTTTAGTCTATTGCATCTGCAGACATGGATTTCAACCAGCTGGAGGCATTCTTGACTGCTCAAACCAAAAAGCAAGGAGGGATCACACCTGAGCAAGCTGCTGTCATTTCCAAGTTCTGGAAGAGCCATAAGACAAAAATCCGAGAGAGCCTTATGAACCAGAGCCGCTGGGACAGTGGGCTTCGGGGCTTGAGCTGGAGAGTTGATGGCAAATCGCAGTCAAGACACTCAGCTCAAATACATACTCCCGTTGCCATCATGGAGCTGGAAATAGGGAAAAGTGGGCAGGTGAGTTCAAGCTTCGGTCAATTTCCCTTTGTAAACTGTATTTTCTGTTACATGTTAGCCATACATTCATAACAATTTATTTAATGGTCTTTGTTTGCAGAGATAATAATAGGAAAAGATTCTGCTTTTTAGAATCCTTTTTCAGAGATAGAAATCATCTGAAAATATAGATATTCTCAATTGTGGATTGAGTCTGAAAGCCACCAGCCTCTAGTGTAGCTAGCTCAGAGGAACAAAATGGATCAATAAGGTGATTGCACAGAAGTTGGCCACTGCTCCCTTTTGGTTAGATCTCAGCATTCAGAATCTCCAAAGCAATGATAAAGATGCTAAATAAAGACCAGAAATTAAGATTAAACAACACAGAACAAAACTGACTCACAAAACTCATCTTTATAGGCATTCAGATACAAGAGGCCATGCATTTTAATTACAATATTGTCCTAAAGACCCTGAGTATGTACTATTTCTGTCCCTGAGCCTACAAATAATTTTTAATTGATACTGATTATTTACAAAACAGTACTGCTTTCCTTGTGATGGAGAAGGAAATGGCAACCCACTCCAGTATTCTTGCCTGGAGAATCCCAGGGACAGAGGAGCCTGGTGGGCTCCAGTCCATGGAATTGCAGAGTGGAACACGACTGAGTGGCTCTCGCTCACTCACTCACTCACTCACTCACTCACTCACTGCGTCCTTTCATTTTCCAGTGTCATCATGGCAGACATCCACATGGTTTTTCTTGAAGTCAGTTTGAACTGGCAGTCAGGTGACTGCCAGATCAGACTTTTAATGACCTGGTATATGTCTTTTGGGGGGAAAAAAAAGCAGCAACTTGTAATTAAGAAGAGGAAACCCAGACCACTGAATTAGCTAATTAGATTTATTTCCAGATAAATAATCAAATAAGTGGTTCTGTTACATGCTATAATAGAAATTTATTTCTTTTCTTCTAATAAGGAGAACATTTTTTTAGCTGGCAGGTTTCCTCACATATTCCCTTATTGAGTTTCTTAGGATTGTTCAGTATTTGTAGTTCCCTCATGACTTTTAAATTTTAATTTAAAAGATAATCCCTTTTTAAAAATTGTACTTTTGCAAAATTTAGTTTGAGTTCCTTTTATTCCGTTATTTTCTAAGCCTTTATGACTTTGGTTTCTCTGATCCTAAAGTCCATTTTCTTATTCCTAGACCAAAAATCAGACATTTAAAAAGGTGCAGAAAGTATTCTTGGATATTTCAGTTTCACCAGCCATTTGTATAGGCTATTCATTTTTTATTCTGGCAGTAGTGATTATTTCATTTTGTCTTCAAGTATTTGTTCTTTGGGCAAGAAGATGGAAACATACGAATCTGCTTTGACTTTCCTAGAAAACCATATGCTGTGCTAATAAGTCACTTCAGTTGTGTCCGATTCTTTGCCACCCTGGTAGCCCACCAGGCTCCTCTGTCCATGGGATTCTACAGGCAAGAATACTGGAGTGGGTAGCTATGCCCTCCTCCAGGGGATCTTCCCAACCCTGGGATCAAACCTGCATCTCTTAACCTCTTCTGATTGGCAGGCAGGTTCTTTACCATTAAGTGCCACCTGGGAAGAAAACTATTATAGTATTCCTTTAACTTGATATTTTCCTAGTGTTTCTTGAACTAGGGTTTATAATGTACCTTTTGATTTTATATGCTATCTAAACTTATTGGGTATTGACACAGGGATTTAAAAAATCTATTTTTGAGTTCCTATGATTTTCCTTTCATTTTGTTATCTAAAGTAATAAAAAAAACTTTTTTAAAAATAGTGAAGTGGTTTTTTGTCAATCAATAATTCTAAACATCATTACAGATGTTTTTTAGCTAGCTTCAGGAACATTTCATGATTACTTAGAATAAGTTGGTAAACTTTTTTTTAAGAGGACAGATATTTTAGGGTTGAAAGTTATATAGTTTCTCTTGCAAGTGTGTAGTTTCTTGCTGCAGCTCAGAAGCAGCCACAGGCAGTATGTAAACAAATGAGCATTGCTGTTTTTCTAGAAGGTTTACCTATTTCAGTAGAATCAATAGGTCCTAGAAGTCAGAGAGTCTTTAAGGACTTGTCTAAGGTAAATTACATAGGTGAGGTGACATATAAGCCCATTTTCTAGAGAAGGTATATGAGGCAGATAAGTGACTTGCTTCAGACCCACCTGCTAAATGGTAAAGTGAGAACTAAAATGGGGTTCACCAGACCTAGTTTTTCCAAAAATCGTTGATGCCTACATCGAGGAGCTTTTTTTAGCTTCTCACAATAGTATGTGCCAAGAAAATATGTTAGGTATGCAATGTGGTAATCAAGAGCATTGATAGGAATATTACTGAGCAATAAGAGGGAAAGAACTTTTGATATACACCACAAAACGGTTGAATCTCAAAATCATTTGCTGAGTGAAATAAGCCAGATGAAAAGTTTTTTTTAGCATAATGTATGATTCTTCTCATAAAAATCCTAGAAAATGCAAAGTAACCTATAGTGACAGGAAGCAGCTGCCTAGGCATAAGAGTAGAGAGAAGGATTAAGTTAGATTACAGAGGGGTGCATGAAAATTTTTAAGTGTGATAGAAATGTTTATGTTCACTGTGGCAACAGTTTTATGGATATATATTTATACCAAACTTATGAAATTGCATACTTTAGATGTGCAATTTATTGTACATTATTTATATTTCAAAGTTGTAAAGAAAATGATCACTATGCAAATGATTGGAAATGTACTTAAACCCACAAAGATTCTTTGACTGCAAATATATTCTTAAATAAAGAAAAGGTGTAAAGAAAAAGCAAACTGTAATAGAACCTAGACTGGCTGTAAAATATACAACCCAGATCCTACCAGAAATGTTTTTGTGAGACCTGGACCTTTGGTTAGTACTTCTGTCAGCTTCTAGATGAATGTTATTTATGACATACTTTACTAAGTCAAGTTACCAATTTTTAGAACATACATAGGCAACAAAGGCAAAGTTATTTTCACAGTACTGTCATTGGATGAGTTTGTTAGAGAATTAATGATGCTAAGATATTAAGAGGTTGCTTCTAAGAAGAACGATCAAGTTTTTTGAACTCTAGTGTGTGTGTGTCTGTTCATATATCTTAATCAACTAAATCACTGTGTTCATTTTGTGTCATTTTAAATCAGTGGTTCTTGGTCAACACTGCATGTAAGAATGAGTTTTGGATCTTTTAACAGTTCTCATGCTCTGGACATACTTCACACTAATTAAATAAGAATCTTTGGAAGGCTTCACTGGTGGCTCAGTAATAAAGAATCTGCATGCCAATGCAGAAGACATAGGCTCGATCCCTGATCTAGGAAGATCACACATGTCGTGGATCACCTAAGCCCGTGGGCCGCAACTACTGAGCCTGTGCTCTAGAGCCCAGGAGCCTCAACTGCTGAGCCCACAGGCCATAGCTGCTGAAGCCTGCATGCCTAGAACCCATGCTCCAAAACAAGAGAAGCCACTACTTTGAGAAGCCCATATACTGCAACTATATAGTAGCCTCGCTAGTCTCAACTAGAGAAAAGTCCGCACAGCAATGAAGACCCAGCACAGCCAAAAATATAATAAATTTTTTAAAAATTAAAAAAAAAAAAAAAGAATCTGTGGGGATGGGACCTGGGCATCAGTGTTCTTTAAAATTGTTGATTTCAAAAAAAGGTCAGGGACTTTCCAGGCCATCCAGTGGTTATGACTCCACTGCAGGGGTTACAGGTTTGATGCTTGGTCGGAAAACTAAAATCCTGCATGCCCCGTAGTGTGGCCAACATACAAACAAAAAAAAAGCCAACTAAAACTGGGATTTCCGTATTCATCCAGGGTTGAGAACCACTGTGTTAAGGTAGCAAAATACTCTGATTTAATATGCAGGTCAGGAAGCAACAGTTAGAACTGGACATGCACCAACAGACTGCTTCCAAATAGGAAAAGGAGCATGTCAAGGCTGTATACTGTCATCCTGCTTATTTAACTTATATGTAGAGTACATCATGAGAAATGCTAGGCTGGATGGAGCACAAGCTGGAATCAAGATTGCCAGGAGAAATATCAATAACCTCAGATATGCAGATGACACCACCCTTATGGCAGAAAGTGAAGAGGAGCAAAAGAGCCTCTTGATGAGGGTAAAAGACAAGAGTGAAAAAGCTGGCTTAAAGCTCAACATTCAGAAAACTAAGATCATGGCCTCTGGTCCCATCACTTCATGGCAAATGGATGGGGAAACCATGGAAATAGTGAGAGACTTTATTTTCTTGGGCTCCAAAATCACTGCAGATGGTGACTTCAGCCATGAAATTAAAAGACGCTTGCTCCTTGGAAGAAAAGCTATGACAAATGTAGATAGCATATTAAAAAGCAGAGACATTACTTTGCCAACAACAAAGTCCGTCTAGTCAAAGCTATGGTTTTTCCAGTAGTCATGTGTGGATGCGAAGATTTGGATCATAGAGAAAGCTGAGTGTCAAAGAACTGAGTCTTCTGAACTGTGGTGTTGGAGAAGACTCTTGAGAGTCCCTTTGACTGCAAGGAGATCCAACCAGTCCATCCTAAAGGAAATTAGTCCTGAATATTCAGTGGAAGGACTGATGTTGAAGCTGAAGCTCCAATACTTTGGCCACCTGATGTGAAAAACGACTCAATGGAAAAGACCCTGATTAAGGGGACGACAGAGAATGAAATAGTTGGATGGCATCACCGACTCGATGGACATGAGTTTGAGCAAGCTCTGGGAGTTGGTGATGGACAAGGAATCCTGGTCTGCTCCAGTTGCAAAGAGTTGGACATGACTGAAAGACTGAACTGACTGAGGACTGTTTATTCAGGTACTAGATGTGGTGGTGGTAGGTTTCTGGTTTTTTATTCCCCCTCCTTGCTTAAGTTTCTCTCTTCTACCCAGTTTGTTTGCATTACTTCTTTCTTTGGTCCAAAAAGTACATTTGACAACTGGCAACCAAAGTGCTTGTTT